TTAATAAGTCCACCGATAACAATGCCCGATTATTGATTTTTCTTTTGTTGCTCCGATTGTTCATTTTAGTTGAAATATTTGTATTGGGACAATGAAGTGGAATATGATATTTGAGAATCATTCAAATATAAGATAAAGAATGTTTTGACATTAATTTTAACCACTCATACCTGAATATCTGGTTGTTGTATAAAATAATGGATGGAGTTAATTTGAAAGTAGCTTATCATCACTTGGGGTGTAGATGAGATTAAGATGGGTTAGTGGAGATAAGGAACCTCAACAAGTAGGGTACGGAGATGGAAAATCAGAAACATCACAAGTTATAACATTTTCAGCAGATGATATGTGCAGTGAGTTCCCTTGATAATACCCTCAATTGTTCTTTCAATTACTCCTTTTTTCACTTGCATTTTATTTTTCTTTATTCTGAAATGTATAGGCTCCGTTGTATTGTTCCGAGTCCAGCAAAGGACTTTGGATGGCATGACCCGGGTTACATCCACATTGCAGTCAATTCAGGATTGCAGCCTTCAACTTCCTTTAAGTACAGATATGGAAGGCAAGTGTACATATATGTATTATTGCTGCAAATTCATCTTTTGTTTTATATTCTGCGTGATTCAGTGATGCAGTTGGATGGAGCGGTGAAACCGAGTTCCGGACACCGCCGGCTGGAGGATCAGATGAACTCAAATTTCTCGTATTCGGTGATATGGGAAAGGCTCCGCTTGATGATTCTGCAGAGCACTACATTCAGGTAGAGGCGTGAGTTTGAACTACAATGTGATTAGTGTGATAATAATGAGGAATCTTTTTTATAATGTTTTTGTGGCACATTCAGCCAGGATCAATTTCGGTAATAAAAGCAATGACCGAAGAAGTTGAAAGTGGCAATGTAGACTTCATTTTCCACATAGGAGACATAAGCTACGCAACTGGCTTCTTAGTTGAATGGGATTTCTTCCTTCACCTTATAACTCCTCTGGCTTCTCAAGTTACCTACATGACTGCTATTGGAAATCACGATAGGTAACTTTCTTGTACAAAGTACATGATCCGGACCTAAAATGACTGAACTTGAAAGTGATTTTGAACTTAAAAGGACTCGAATATGAACCGCAATATCAGCCATTGTCACCGATTTTAGCCTGCACTTTTCAGGGACTATGTGGATTCAGGGTCGTGGTACCCAGGTCCAGACTCGGGAGGGGAATGTGGAGTCCCTTACTAGACCTATTTTCCAATGCCAAAACCAGAGAAAGACAAGCCATGGTACTCCATAGAGAAAGGCAGTGTTCATTTCACTGTCATTTCAACAGAACATGACTGGACTAAACAGTCTGAGCAGGTTAAATAATATCTGAATTATTATTCTCTCCGATCTGATCTCCTTTTCGGTCATGTACACAATTATGAGAGAACATGTTCTGTCTACAATTCTGAATGTCTGGCAATGCCAACGAAAGATGGAAATGGCATCGACACATACGATAACAGCAACTACACTGCACCTGAGCAAGCTATCGTTGGGATGGCTGGTTTCAGTCTGGACAAATTTTCTGATGACGTAAGTTGAGAATTGAACATAAGGTCATCAGTTAATATTTGTTGATTAATAGTCACGAACAGGCGCCTAGTTGGAGTTTGAAAAGGATTTCTGAATTTGGGTATGTTAGAGCACATGCCTCACAGGATGAGCTGAGCTTAGAGGCTGATACGAAACACCCTCCATTTCAAGTTTAACTCCTCTGAGTTTTGACAATTTCTCATGTCCTTCAATTGTTTACGTTTTGCAGTTTGTGGATTCCAAAACCAAAGACGTTGAGGACAGTTTCATCATTACCAAAAAGTAAAACCCAAATTGGAAATCTACAGCTTTTATTCTCTCTCAAAATTAAGCCTTAAAATTCCTGTAGCACGTTGTGTTGGTGTATTTTCTTGTGGTGTAATTCTAAGTTTGGAAAAGATAATAGTTTATGTTATATAAAATTTATAATATCAAGCTGGTTTAATGGATTCGACATGGTTAAAGTGCATTTTTTTTCTTTTTTTTCTGTTAAATGTGTAATATGCACAATTTTTATCTTTATTAATTTTAAACCTTGGATACGCTTATAGTTTTTACCAAGAAGTCCAAGCATATTGTATTCATTCAATTTAAATGAATTCTTTTAACATATAATTACTGAAAAGGAGGCAAACAATGAAATTTGGATCCTACGGCCGCGGGACTTGTCTAATTTTCTAGAGGAAGAAAGAGTAAATAATTGTTAAGTTTGTACATAGGTACAGCTGAAAATCACCTTCATTTCAATTTTCTTCTGATCTTATTGTGTTAGGATATTTTCGTTGGAAATGGATATTATGAGAGTGAACCCCATTTTTGGTTGGGTGGAAAATGAGAGATTAAGCGGAAACTCCCAAGGGGAACGTGATCAATAACTTTGTTTCGTTTAGTGTATTTGCTTGGTGGCCTTGGTCCATGCATTAAGGCGTGTGCGGTACCAGAATTGAGTGAAAAGCGCATTGTACTGACAACTCACATACATTAGCATTTCCAAATGGAACCAACAATCATTTTCTTATTACTAAACATCCATAAATATATGTATTTAATGAGTTGAGCAACTCGAATTCAACGCGGTCAAAACTTGATAAAAGTTCGACTCAGGTTGATTCGATTCGAGACCTTAGCGAACTTAGTCGAGTAAAATTCAACTCGACTTAATAAGTTCGCGAACATATCATTAATTTTCTTTTTATAATTTTTTTACTAGTTATCTTAAAAAAATATTTCATTAAAAAATTACTACTTTACTAATAGATGATAAATGACTAATCTGTTAATTTTTTAATAAAAATATTAAATTAATAATTATTATTTTACTACACCTACAAATTAAACTCTAAATATTATTTTAATGCATTTGTAGATTTTTATTTTGGAGTTTAAACTTTGAATTTGTTTCATATACTCTTTTTGATAATTTTTGGTTAAATTTATCAATTCACGTTTATATTAAGTTTTATATAGTATTAGTAGATTTTACATATAGTTAAAAAAATAAGATAAAAATTTTGGTGAGTTTAACGAGCAACGAGACGAGTAACGAGCACGAGTTGAGCAACAAGATTTTTTTAACGAGCAATAGTCGGGCAAAATTTTAACGAGCTCAACGAACAACGACTCGAGTCGAGCAACGAAATTTTTTTAACGAGCATGAGTCGAGCACTACCTACCTAACTCACGATCAAATCGCTCGATAAACACCCCTATCCATAAACACTTTCTCAACTTGTATTACAAGAATGGAGTTGATAGAATATAGCAATCAACATGGGTCGAGTCGAGTTGGATTTTCGATCTATTGACATGGCCTAAAAATTATAAATCCTCCACTTGACCCGAAAAGTATACACCTTCCACTCGGCCTGAACCGACCAGGTTTTTTGAGAAAAAATTCGAAGCCGACCTGAAATAATGTATTTATTAAAAAAATATTATTTTTATTCTATAAGAATAGATATTTAATTGAAATAAAATAATATATAGAGGGGTATTATTGTAATTATCTCAAAATATATAAGGTAAAATTATATTTTTTATGTCGTGTCAGATTAGGTATTTTATCCGACCCGAACGTAATCTTAAAAAAATTAACTTAACCGGAATGTGATATTTTTTAAATCCGACCTGATCGGATCAAAACTTATCAGATTCGATCAATGCCTATCACTATATATGACTAATTAAAAAGTAAAAAAAAATAGTTCAATCATTTATAATATATATATATAGAAAGATAAGCCCACGTGTCAAGAGTTATCCCTTCTCTGTTAGCACATAGTACCCAGGCCACTATTTGATTACCATGTCATGTAATGTGCTTGTATGGGTAGGGATTAAGGTTAATTTGTTTTTTTTTTTTTTTAAAGAAATGGAAGCAAAATGATAACTTTTGAGAGAGTACGATGAATTTTTGTTATTGTGTTAATTTAATAAAATAATTTTTAAAAATTAAATTTTAAACTTATTATTTTAAGGAAAATTCTAATTTTATTATGTATTAAATTAAATATTAGAAAATTTAAATAGAATTTGAATATTTAAAGGGGGTATGATATGACATTCACAACGTATTTCTCTTAATTCCGCGTATGAGACAACCAAGTAAGGACAAACCTTTACAATTTGATGAGTATCCAGACAATTTGACGTTCACCCGATTTTGCCAAAAGCCATAGCAAAACCATGGGCAATTTACTCAGCAAGTTTCATACACCAACAACCTTGGCTGTTGGTTGAAAAAGCCTTTTTTCAGCTTCGGAAGTTTAATTTCACGTCAACAACCAAGCTTCTCTTTTTCGTTGTTTTCCTTGGGGACGTTTCAGTATTCTATAATTCCATTAATGCCCTCCTAACTTACCACGCATTCCACCTTCTTTAACATTTTTGGGTTTTTACTTTGAAAAAGGTATTTGCTCAGATCGCTTAGGTTTCAACTTTTACAAATCAAATATTGACAGCTTAATTTATAGTCCTCTATACACGGGTAAATTTTGAAAATTAATTTTTATATTTAAAATTTTAAATATTAAATTTCTCTACTTTTATTTAAATTTGTAATCCGATCATTGACATTGATATATTTTTTCAAACTTTTCTCATTTTAAAGTATGTTTATTAAACTTGTGATAACTTATTTATGAAATTATTATGATCGCATAAAATTGATGGAAAATATTAACATGTCAATGGTTAGGTTAGAATGTTCAACCCATAAAGAGTAATATAATATAAATTATAGTTCTTAAGTACATTGACTCAATCTCACAATCTGTTAAAGGATAGGGACCGTCCAAATAATTAACCCAAAAAAAGAAAAATATAAAAATCTAGTGTCATGAATGTAATAATAGAGTAAGCCATGTCTATTTAGGAAACATCCCGTTATATATTCAGTGAATGTATTCGGTGTTGATCTTATCCTTATCTTCGTAAAGCATTTTCTTTCTTCTGATTTACTGATTACACTTTTTAGTTGAAAAAATGGAGGTTCTTTCGCAGCAATCAGTGTCCTCAACATTGAATCCCCACGCTCCATTGTTCGTTCCTTTGGCATATCGGATGGTCGAGGATTTCTCCGATCACTGGTGGGCTCTCGTCCAATCGTCTCCTTGTTTCCGCGACTACTGGCTACAGGAACGCTTCCACGACCCCCAAAACGACGACGTTGACGATCTTCTCTTCCCCGACGACCTCGATGACATCTTTGACCAATTCGATGACGGTTTCGTCGATCCTATACGTAACTGACTCATTCGACTCAGCCCGAATCCACGAGTCAGTTAAATACAACTCGGATCTCACTTTTTTTGTCTTTTTTTTTTTTTTTTTGCAGAGGAAAAGGAGGGAGATAATCAAAGGAAGTTAGTACCAGTTGGAGTATTTAAGTGGATGAAGGACCAAGTTGTGACTGAGCAGCCTAGGTTTGTTGAGAAAGCACCCAAGATTGTGAATGTGAAAATGGTTCCACGGAACATTCACCAACCAAGGTAAATCAACTCGTGCTGAGTTGAGATGGGAGGCTCGCCGGGCCTGCAACGGCCATTTTCAAGCCTTTTTTTTAACCGATTTCTCTTTTCTTCTTTCCAGTTTGTAGTATTCTATGTACAGAGATCTGTAAATTTTTAATTATGTAATAAACGAAATTAACTTCACCCAGATTCCGAAAAAGGAACTAATGACAAAAAATACTTGGGTATAATATGATTTGGTTATTCCAGATATTACATCGAAATTGAAGCAAAACAAAATAATAATAATAATAATAATGTATGTTGTTAATTAATCACATCCCCAAGTGGTAGCTTGTTCGCCAATTATTTGAAGAACTCGGATGCTTCATCGTTGGTAACATTTCCCGTGACGATAATATTGTTCAGCTTAGTATCTACATTGTATGTTTCAATATCTGCCGCCCATTAATATTAAAAATAATCAAATTTTCCCGAGAAAATTTAAAAATCATAGCAGGCATGTAGAAGAAGAAGAATTACCCTCTATTTTCTTGATGGCCTTGAGGATTTTCTTGATGCACTCGTCACAATGTAAACCCACTTTCAGTTCCACTACCTATACAAATATTGAAACCTTGGTTTAGCTCTCCATGAGATCAAACTTAAAAAACAAATAAAAAAATTAGTTACTTACGTTGGCCATTGTTGCTAATGAATTTGCAGAGTTGAAAAATGTTGAAGGAAGGAAGCTAATTTTTTTGTTTGGTAAAAGGGGTGGGCTTGAAGCTAATAAATATACAGTGTTAGTGAGGTATTAGATTCCTTACGTGATTGATGGGGTCTTTTTTTCTGTATTTTATTCCAATAATTATGACTTTTGTAAGAGATGAACTACAGCGGCACCGCCCAACTGGTTGCCAATATACATGTATAGCTAGACAGCACCGTAAAAGCTTTTTTATTTTTATTTTTATTCAAGGTCTAATTGAAAAATTAAGGCTTAAATGTATCTTTGGCCCTGAAGGTTAAAAAAATCAATGTGACTCCTTTTTTTTTTTTTTATTAATGTGATCCTACAATTTTAAAAAAAATTAATGTGACTTTTGTCTAACGTTTTTCGTCATTGAATAAGATTTTATTAATTATTTCTATTATAAATTGGGTAAATTACACCATTCATCACCCAACTATTTTCATTAAAATTTAAAAATTCAATTTCAAAAATTCTAGAGACTTCATAGACTAAAGATGTAATAAACCCATTTTACCTCATCTCTCTAACTTCTTCCCTCTCCTCCAAATTTGGATGATAGCTAATGAGTTCCTTAACTTTCCTCCAAATTTGGATGATGAACTTTTGCTCCGCTCCCTTCTGATATTTTCCTCAACGAAGTCCCTTCCAAAATCAAGCTCCGCCTTCACCACCATAACTCCCCTCGTCTCCCTTCCTCTTGCATGGAAGACTTAGCTTCTCGTTTCCCTGCCCTTAATCTTCCTAAGCATGACCAAATACTAACCAAAGCTATCAACTTTCAGGTTCTTTTCTAAACCCTTTACATTTTCTCTTGCAAGCATCTCTTTTTTCCTCTTGTTTTCTTGCTTTCTTACCCCCACTTTGCAGAGGCTTCAAGAACCGGTTTGTTACGTTACGGTTAATAGGAGTGGTTTGGAAGCGGGTCAAAGCTTTTACGGTTTCAGAAACGGTCCGTTTCTTGGAGGGACCAAACCGGTTTATGAATGTCAGCTCGTGAAACCAACTCAAGCTCAGGTATTTGAAAGGTTTCGGGTTTGATGCCATGAACGATCTTTTCACATTTCAGTGTTCTTATTATTTTTCTTGAGAGGGAAGATATTATGACGTTTGGTTGCTTAAATGTTTACGAGGAAATTAGAATCTATAAAAGAATTAGAATCTATGAAATAATTGGAATCTGTCAGGAATTAAAATCAAATTACATATTCTGTTTGATTCGCAAGAAATGAAATTAAAATCTAATTTCATATTCTGTTTGGTTCGTAGACATATAGATGAATTTGATTTTAGTAACATAAAATGACAGAATTACCCTTCATATTTTTTTGTTTTATTTTAATTTGTTTTACAACTTACAGGTAGTAATATATTATAAAAAAATAAAAAATATTAAATTTTCATTTTATTGATTGATTATTCATTTTAATAAATTATAAAAATCATGCTAATAAATATCATAAGTTAAAATCATCACAATCAAAATATGTTAATAAGTTATCAAAAGTTATAGTAATATTTCGATACATTCCAATCGGAGTATGTTAATTAGTTACCAAAAAATATACCAAAAATTATTTTTATTCAATATTTGAATTAGAAACTCGACTCGACACAACACAAAATAATAAAAAAATTATTTTTATTCAATAAAAATATTGACTTAATTGAAAAAAATATATATATAAAGGGGTATTATTATAATTATTCCTAAATATATAAGGTAAAATTATATATTTTTTTTGGGTAGGTCCGGTTTTTTTCACCCTAAAACCGAACCCGACCCGACCCGACCCGAATATCACACTTAAAAAACCTGATCTGACCCGAAAAAAATAAAGTTTCACCTGACCCTACCCGAATATATGAATTAGAAATCCGACCCGACCCGAAATAATAATAAAATATTTTTATTTAATAAAAACAGTGATTTAATTGAAAAAATATATATAGAGAGGGGTATTATTGTAATTATTCCTAAATATATAAGGTAAAATTATATATATTTTCGGGTCGGGTATTTTTCACCCTAAACCCGAACTCGACCCGACCCGAATATCACACTTAGAAAAACCGACCCGACCCGACCCGAAATAATAAAAAAATATTTTTATTCAATATATGAATAAGTTACCAAAAGATTGATGAGGGTAGTATGATCAAATTTCAATTTCCTCCAACAAGGGAATTGAATTCCATCCATTATTGGATGGAATTCACTTTTTCTCATTTGATGGAAAGTTGAAGCCATGAGGGATTCCAATTCCCTTGGAAAACTTGAACCAAACATGGGAAAATAGTGGAATTGGATTCTAATTCCCCCAATTCCAAAAGATTCCATCCAACCAAATGATACCTTAAAGAAATATGAGGTAAAATGGGTTAACTATAGCCTTAGTCCCTGAAGTCTCTAAGTTTTTTAAATTAAAAACTTTTAGAGTTTAATGACCAAAATAGAAGAGAAGAAAATAATTAATTGATGAATGTTGTAATTTATCCAATTTATAACAGTAGGAATTAACGAAATTTTGGTACATAAAGGAAAAGGTTAGTCAAAGTATCACATTATTTTTTTTTTCGAGTTGGAAGATCACATTGAAAAAAAAATCAATAGGCCCACAATGGTTTTTTTTAACTTCACGGCCAAAGATACTTTTAAGCCAAAAATTAAAGATTTTTTTTGTTAATTTAAGTGTCAAATATTTTTTTCATTATTATTTAAGGTGTATAACTATTAATAATTATTAAAAATCATTAATTATTCAAAAACATGATAGGTGATTTGTGTTAATAAATTTTTAAAATTTTAATTTCAAAAAACTTTACATTATTATTTTTAATTAATTAATCTCGTGACGAGCTAAATCTACTATTAATATATTCACGTTTATATTGTCTGTTAAGTTTTTTTTAATAAGCAAAGATAATCGTAAAATAGTATTGGTTATACATATTTTCAATAATTTGACATTGAACTCTCAATTACTTTGTTATAGTCATTGATACTCAAACTTTTGACCTCTAAGAACAACAATGGTTCTTTTAACTGCTAAATTAAGTTGATTCTTTCTGTCTGCTAAGCTTGGTCTAGCGATAATCGATCCAAATTAAACTTTTTCTTGAAACAAAAGTTTTTATAAGGCTTAATACAACAATAAGTGGTTAAAGTATGTCTTGAAACACGTTTTAGTGCCTAAAGAATTTTTGTTAAAAATATGTGTCTAATGTTTTCTCAATTATATTTCTAAGTGCCTAAAGTTATTTTTATTTTTTAATAATAAAAATATTATTTTTAAAAAAGAAAAAATTAAAAAAAACTTAATTTATTTATAATAAAAAACTCCAATTTTTGACTAAAATTATAAAAAAAACCCTAAAATATCTCATTTCAACGCATTACCAACCATTGCCAACCATCTTCGGCCATCATTGCTATCTTCGAACTATTGAGTTTTGATCGAAATTATACGGTGGTTCGAATGGTGGTGGAGGTGTGGCTTATGGATGTTGAGATTGGCCTGAATCGACAAAAAATGTGACGATGACTTAAAATTCGACAAACCTTTGAACGTTTATCTATGACAAACAGTGACAGATTACGATGAAAGGTCAATGAGAGTTTGATCAGGGGTTGATGTCGGTGATGATGGTGGCAGTGACAGTCACGGGTGGCCGACGACGATGGAAGGTGAAGGAGAAGGCGGGGAGGGGAGCACGAGCCATTTGTTTTTTTTTAATTAAAAAATACTTTTATTTTTTAAAATAAATTCTCAAAATTACTAGAAATGTGATAGTGACACTTAACGGTGGTTTAATGGTCGGCACCTAAAAATGTAACTTTAGAAACATTATACACATATTTTTAGCGAAAAATTCTTTATACACTAAAATATTTTTTGATACATAGTTTAATCACTTATTTTTGAATTAAGCCAAATTATAATATACATCTCGTGGGTTAATATCCGTATTTATACGCTAGTAAAGCATCGCTATCAAAACAACCTAATTATTTAGATTTATTTCTTTGTTATTTTCTTTTTTATGTATAATTAATTTTTTTATATAATTATATCAAATCAAAAACTCGTAGAACAATTTTAAATTTGGATAAACTATACTATTGAGCACTCAACTATTTAGTCCTTTTACTTTTATTAATAATTTTTTTAATTTTGTCAATCACACTATCTAACTATTTAATTGTATTCAATCAAACTACTAGTCGTTAACATTTAACGGACATGGTGACATGACAGTTAAGACATTTGGTATAATTACATATCTAGTCACTAATACTTACATATTATATCAATTTGCTCTTAATTTTAATAAATTAAAATAAATTTAATCACCGAATCATATGAAGCCATGTGTCATCATTCAATTGAATAATTAATTATATTATAATTCAATATACTTTTCACCAATCAGATGTTGACATGTGTTACTCTATGGTGGAAAGAAAATAAAGTGCACAACAAATGTATGCAAGGGGTTCAAACCTGGATACTTTTGATGATAATGAAAATGCTCAACAACTAAGCTAACTTGCTTTTTTGGTCTAAGGTATACAATATATGATATATATTTTGTATTATTGTGTAAATTATTAATATTTCATATATTTTAATTTAAATTCACATACTAATTTTTTTTATCTTAACATTAAAAAATATATAAAATAAGATAAGAATAGAATAAATTTTTTAAGTAAAAATAAGATTAAAATATATTTTTAAGTTAAAAAATAAAAAAATATTTTTTTAATATTAATATGTGAATTTAATATTAATAATGTGAATTTAAATTAAAATATATAAATTATTAATAATTTACACTGGGGTCCATAATATATATCATAAATTGTTTGCCTTAAACCCAAAAGCAACTTAGCTTAGTGGTTGAGCACTCCTACTTTCAGCCAAGGTTTCCAGGTTTGAACCCCCGTGGCTTCATATGATTCAATGAATAAATTTATTTTAATTTATTAAAATTATGAGTAAATTAATATAATATGTAGTATTGGTGACTAAATGTGTAATTATACCAAATGTTTTAACTGACACCATGTATGGTAAATGTTAATGTGATTTGATTGGATATAATTAAATAGTTAGATAATCTAATTGATAAATTTAAAAGATCTGTAGTAAAATTAAAAGGGCTAAATAATTCAATGGTCAATGATATAGTTTACCATTAAAATTTTACCCCCATAGAATTATTACAACATAATTGTTTTAACATAGAAATGACCCATTTTCAGACATGAATAATATACCAGGACAATTTCCCCCACTTTGTGCAACAATATGATGTTTTTGAGCCTTTTGAGAGATTATGGTCACGATTCATACTTTCTCCATTTTATTAGTGCGATTTTAAAAAATATATATTAAGAATATGCTTTTTGTAAAAGTAATATATATAATTTGTGTGTATACCATAAATATCAAGAGTGTGAACGTTATATGTTAAATAATGAAGAATTATCTATGAACAAATATTATTTTATATTTACCTCATATTAATAAAAAAAGTCGTGTTTGTATATGTAGAGATATTGTAACTTTAATACATCTGATTCATTAAATATTTTATTAAAATTGTGATGATAACTTTTAAATTATCCTTAAAAAACTAAACTCTAATCTTTTAAAAGTTTATTTTTCACGATCTTAAAAAATCAAACCCTCGTTATCCCAAAAAAAAAAAACCCCTCTCCTCTAAACCCTAGACCACTTCTTTGTTGGGGTCGTCTTTAACCGCCGCACGTCTCTTATCCAAACTCCAATACCCTTGCACCCTCGCCCTTTGCCATGCTCATGATCCAAAGTGGAATTTCGTTGCTTTATAAAGGGTGCAAGGGGTGTGAGTTTACAAGGGAGGGCATGCAAGTGAACTTATGATCAGCTTGGGGTGTTCGATTAAGCAATGCTGGAGTGCTTAGGGTTGTTAGGGCGGGAAGAAGTGAGGGCCTAGGGTTCCAGATGTGGGATTGTTGGTGTTGTTCGAAGGGGTTTTAATCGAGTCGAGCAATGGATAAAGATATTTGATGGCTTTCGATGAGTTTTATAGTGACAGAGAATTGAAAGGCGAGAGTTTAGGATTTGAGTTTTTTTTAAAGAACTATGACTCTGAGGGTAGTAAACCGGGCTTGAGCAACGACATGAGGTTGGAAAACAAAAGAGTATGGCGTTGGCAGGGAGAACATGAAGACAATAGGTTCTATTCGTTTCAAATTTTTGCAAAAGATGAAAGAAAGATGATGGCCGACAGCAACGACTACGATGGCAATAAGCCTATGATTATGGTTTACGTTAAAGAATGTAGGTTTTCTGGCAGTGTAAAAAAAATAAAGTTTTAAAAATTTAGGAATCTAATTTAAAAGTTTTGAAAGTTTAAATGTTATAATTGAATTTAGTATTTTTGTTGGTGTGACATGCCATTAATTTTTTTTCTTCAAAATCAGTGATTAAAATAGACAAAACTATAAACATAAATGACCAATTGTGTAGTTTATTCTGACATTTTATTATAAAAAAATTAAGTTCTCTAAATATCTTCCATCAGATTATTTAAGAGTTGTTGCTTTAGAACACTATAATCGACCATAATAGTACATTTTTAAATCACCTTTACAATAGATAGGATTCAATTAAAACACAATCACAGTCACAATCCCAGGTGAATTGGGAGATTAGTGTCAAAATGACACGTTTTAGTTCCCAATGAGAACCCCTTGCATCATGAGCACAAGTTGTTGCTCCCATGCATGATGCACCCACAAATCTCAAAACAACCACTAAAGTTAAAAATACAATGGAAACAAACAGCACCCAAACTAATTACTTAAATCCATATGACGCCAATAAGGAACTGACACGAAACACCTTTTTCTTTATTCATCGTCCTACACACGGCTGCAGCTGATCACGGGAAATGGCTAATTAAATTGCCAATACCAGACCCGGCACAGACTTCCCAACTCGGTTGGAAAACCTGCTCTCCCAGACGGAAACGCAACGCACAGGGGTAATCTCAGCCGCTGATGAAGAATCGTAGTTGAAGGGTGGGGATTGGACAGAGCTCCCAAGGCGAGTAACAGTGAGAGAAGTGTTGAAGTATTCTCTGACTTGTGTTATTATCCCACCAGCAGTGAGGGTCCAGGCATGAACCCAAGAGATGGAACGCTTATGATCGCACCCTTCAACGATGACGGTGGAGCCAAAGGTGGTGACTGAGAGAGGATCCACCTCGAAACGAAAAGAGTGGTGGTCAGATGAAGCTTCGGTGAGGAGGCGCATCATGAACTGGTACGTCGGGGGGCCATGGAACCACCATTCAATGTCGGGAGCAAGGATTCGGTGAACGGTCTCCACGTCTCGGGTGTTTAGGGCATCGTAGAGGGCAAGAACCACGTCTTGGTTCTTGTTGGTTTCATCCCTTGCGTTAGCCAGTTCTTAATGGAAAAAAAACGAGAGATTTTATGTTTTTGGAGAGAGTTGTTGGAAAATTTGTAGCTAAGACCAGAAATAATATACACCGGTGAGGTCTTGTAGATGGATGAAGCGTGATTTATATAAGGAGACTCCTTAGTTGGCTGTGATTCTCTAAATTCATTTACTTTGTCAACATTGATTAGGTGTGGTACATGCCTAAGGGTGCGTTTGGTTTACGGAATGTAAGATTACCAATAAGAATAAAAGATTACCATGGAATAGGATTACTGGGAATGTTACATTACTGTATTTGGTTGGTTTGGCAGGAATATAAGATTACAGTGTTTGGTTGGAGGAATAAAAGATTACTGGAATGTATATTTTACCAAATTGTCCTTGTTCTATATTTATTTTTTTAACAAGTGAAATTCTAAATATTTAAATAAAAATTATTTATATAAAAATTTTATTTGTTGATAATATATTACTTGAGTATTTAAATATATCATGTATTATTTTAATTTTAATTAATATTAAATTTTACACAATTTATGTAAAAATATATTAAAATTTTACATCAACATTTAACTAAATGTTTACATTGTGGAAATTCTTCATAGATATTCATAATAATAATAAAATGTAAATTATTTTTGTTATCTAAGATATAATATTTATTATATCTTCTATATACAATTATTTATTTATTTATCTTTTATATTTATACTTAATTCTGCATACTTTATCATTATTATTTATCTCATTAATTTATATTACAAAAACATAATTCAAATAAGTAAGAAAATATAACATTAAAAATCATATTGTCTATAATTTTATATTTCACCGTCATTCATCGTTATCTTTGCTAATATTTTAATAAAATTATTAATACTCAGTCCTAATATGATTTGTACTTAACTCTTGATTACGAAAAGCAAGCAACCCAATAATACTCAGTCCTAATCTGATTTGTACTTTACTCGGCCATAAAATAACTTGTTCATCCGTCTTTTTTTATTTCAATTTTTGGTTTTTAAGTACAGTTCTTCGGATTTCCAATTTTATAACCACTAGATCAGCTGACTCTTAATTGAATTGGTTCGATTGATCGAATTAAAGACCCTATTAACAAAGAACCTAAAATGAACTTGCTCATCCGATTTTTCATATTTCAATGTTTGGTTTTGGTTTTGAAGTTGCTCACAACAATTCTTCCAAAATAGATCTAACCCACTGATTGAACCCATGGCAGGGGCAGGAAACTTTTTTTTCATTTAATATTCAAAAGTGAACTAAATTAGGCAAAAGCAAAAAATTATAAGAAATGAAGCAGATTCATGATACTGTGATTGACATCTTTGCCGCAAGGTTAACATGCATAAAATGTAACATTAAAAGATAAATTTAAAGAAAATGAAAATGAATGGGAACGAGAAATTTGAAATGCTTCTACGTGCATGCTTTGCATGGATTGGGAACTATTGCAAAACCCATTGATTCTTCTTGGCTAGTTCTCCACTCAAACAATTGAATTAATTGATGGATTCAAGGTTCTCTTCTCAGTTAGTTGGCGGAGGAGGAAATCAAGAGGTTCGATTCAAGGGAGATTATTTGGTTTTACTAGATTGCTTCCTGCAAATGCAGCTCAACAACTCTTACTTTACTATTTATCATTCACAAAAATATAATATAATGTTCTTAATAATCCTCAATTTTCGGTCTGCAACTCATGTAATCAATTGTAAAATTACAACTCTCCTGAAAGATAAGGAAATACTGGAGCAGAAGGAAAGATATCAACATGTCGAGCAACCATTTTGTGTACTAACAATCAGACTCATCCATGACCAAACACATCTTTTATGCTGATAAAATAAATAAGTAAAATTTGTTCACAGACTCATGCCAATCTACAGAGGGAAGTATTCGACTAAAAAAAGTAGCAGCACTGCAGTAGGTCATGTTATGAGAATCACCGTTTAATATAAAACTGTTACAGGACCCATCATTATCACCTCCAACTTCTTTCAAAATAGATCTAACCCACTCAGAGTCATGATCACCAGCAAGAGCAACACTGTTTCAGTTACAGAAATACGGACAAATGCCTGCAGTTCTCCAAGACTTCTAATATTCACTACCGATAAGTTGTGACACACAAGAAAGCGATAACTCTTAACTATCAAAGACAAGGTTTTTACTACATAACAAAAACTATCAAAAGTAATTAACATATTCGAAAACTAACACATTACTTGCAACTCATATACTATATAACAAAAAGAAGTATATCATTAACCATCAAAAGATTGTACAATGTTCAGACTTACAAAAGATAATATCCATGACATTCTAAACGTAATCATATATGTTGGCTATATTATATACACACAAAATTCTTCAAGTCAAAAGATTGACATATACTTGGCTAAGCTACACAAAAAAGTTAGGATCATATTCTAAAGTCATAATAAAAAAGAGATCGACATAATTGTAGAATGACGATAGTCAAATTGATGGTCTAAATTGACGGCATTCAACCAATTGCTTAATCACATAATCTTGCTTGAATTCTTTTGGCAAAGAAAAGAAAAAATCTACCTTGTGCGCATCTTTGCTAATATACTCTCCTGCAGTAAGCATTTCATCAGTGGGCAGTCCTTCAATTTTCATGATTTCAGTGAAAATCGACATTCTTCGATCATTTCCTTCTGCCTCCTTTTTCAATAAAGCAGTAATATCCTTAATTTCTTTGGCAGTTTCTCGGTATGCAACACCGAACTTACTTATCTCCTGTACAAGCTCGGTTAACCCATCATCACTTCGAGACCTTTTCTTGCTAGCTACTTTTTTCATTTTAGGGGTAGAGGCAGTAGCATCAGATGTTTGGCAAGTTGAAGCACCAATATCCTCTCTGATTCAGAATCTCTTACTCCCTCTTCTTCAAGTAATGCATCTATAAATGCATTGTCTTCAACATCAATATGTTCCACTGCATCAGTTGTTGTCTCCGCTGCTATTCCTGTAGCTCTTTCTTTTCCAAATATATGAACAAAGTCATCAAAGAATGAAAATGACTTGTTTCTCAATCCAGCAGCAGTTGGATGACTCTATAATATAATAAAATCGCAAATTTAATAAATCTTACAAAGCTAAGTAGATAACAAAGAGTATAGAAAGAAGATAAATTCAATTAAAATACTTACTCTAACCCAATCATCAAACACATCTTTTGGTGTAGTTAAACATTTTTCTTCTTCATTCCAACCGAATCCACTTCCAATATTCAGCATTTTAGATAAAGCATTGTATTGTCTTTTGAGTAGCTTCACTCTAGATTCAATATGTGGATGGGCCCTAATTTATGATGATGGAAGCTTGATTTCTAACATCTTTTCAAGATTAGATAGATAACCTGATCTAAATGTTCCATTATCAGCTTTCCAATGTGGGTATTCAGCCAAAATATGTAAACATTCAACAAGTGCAGCATCCTCATCTTTAGTCCATGTCCTTTTAGTTACTAAAGACTTAGGCTTTCTAGATGTCGACAGTTTTTCCCCCCTTTGAGATTCTATATTTGATGTTGACATATTTCTCTTCGAAATAATCTAAGAAGATGTATATAAAAAATGTATAACATAAAACATGTCATCATTGTCAATACTAACCATAAAAGAAATTTAAAATAGTAACATAATATAAATCAAATGTAGTGAATGACATAAGTAATGAATGTCCATAACAAATAAAATTCGAATTTTATAAAAGAGAAATACATAAAATTTAATAAAGTTTATGCCATAAAATATAAAGATGTCAAATACATGAAAGTAATGACCACTAACATTAGATAAAATAGAAGATGGAAGTCATACATAACATAAAATAACATCTATCCTAAAGTACGTGACTCCAACCAACTAGTAAACATATCTTCTGCTAATTTGTCTCTCCACTCAGTCCAAGCACTGCTTGGCTCACAATGTCTGATCATTTCTACTTCATTAATCTCTTCAATATGCCTACTATCTTCAGTATAGTCAGATTCAATAGGATCGATTGGCATCTCAGATCTTATGAAATTATGGAGAAGACAACAAGCTGAAATGAGTCTACATTGTGTTTTCACTGGATAAAATGATTTTTCCCTTAAAATTACCCATCTCGCTTTCAATATGCCAAAGCATCTCTCAATGCAATTCCTAGCTTGAGAATGTTTCATGTTGAAATATTCTTGAGGGGTGGTAGGTTGATGTCCTTCTCTCCAATCATTCAAGTGGTATCTTTAACCTCTATATGGTGCAAGAAATCCCTCTCCATTCGTGTATCCAGCATCACATAAGTAGTAACACCCTATATTATTTTAATTTAAAAAGTAAATTAATATACAAAACTTGTAAGAATTTTACATTCTTATATATATATATATATATATATATATATATATTAATGACCTAATAATTTACCTTGTGGAACATTTAAACCATTTCTTCTACTAATGGCATCTCTGAGTATTCTACCATCAGCTGCAGAACCTTCCCACCCAGGTAAAACATAAATGAATTGCATGTTTGGTGTGCAAACACCAAGTACATTTGTCGCAATTTCATTTTTTCTTGTTCTGTATCTAGGTTTATCGATTGCAGCTACATTGACCTTAATATACGTTCCATCTAGAGCACCCAAACATCCCTATATTTATCAAATAAAGTTAAATTACATTATTACTATCCATTTATGTATTAAGCATTACTAATTAACTTAAAAGAAAGTTCAGAATTATGATACAATACCTTAAACCATTTCCATCTATCGTCTGTTGAATTATCTTGTATCGGTTCTGGTTTTCTAAAAAGGATTGGATGCAGTTTCAAGATTGAAGCTAACATTGTATGAAGAACTCTACTAATTGTTTCACCAGATCTTATTGTTTGACATTTTAAAACTCTAATCTTAATATGGTGGGATATAATATGAAGGAAAGTAATAACC